GCAGAGCTGAGGGGACAGGCTCCCCTGCGGGATCTGTGAGCAGGAAGCCCGAGTGCCGCAGGTGGCCTGCAGGGACCTCAGCCCCTCTGCCTGGGTGTATGTGCTCAGAGTTCCCAGTGGAACCCCGGCGAGGACTGGGGGTTATTTTCAGTATTCTTTTGGGGCCTGGACGCTCAGACTGGACAGCCTGCTGGCCGTTCGCGCGCAGCCTCCTGAGGTTGGTGAGACTGGAGGTCTGGGGGCCTGGGCTCCATGGAGCTGGCCTTCTGTTGCAGGGTCAGAGCTGTGAGACCTGCGGCATCAGGATGCACCTGCCTTGCGTGGCCAAGTATTTCCAGTCGATCTCTGAACCGCACTGTCCCCACTGTAATGACTACTGGCCCCATGAGATTCCAGGTTTGCAGCCCGCAGGGCCCGTATGGAGGGCTGGGCGGGCAGGGCTGACCTGGCGCTGTAGGCCTGGCACCGGGGGAACCCTGGGAGGGCGTGTGCAGGGCAGGGTGAGCAGTGGGCAGAGGCAGCAGGTGAGGCCTCTGGGCACAAGTGTCTCTGGGCCAGGCCTGCTGCCTGCAGCCACCTCAGGCAGGGATGTGACAGCAGTGTCTGCAGCTCCCCGAGGTGGTTGCTCTGTGAACGGGGCTAATGCCAGCCTGCCCCTGGGCAGGGGGAGGGACGCAGGGAAGTGCTTTGGAGAAACAGGCGGCGTCCTTGGCGTGGGAAGCACAGCATGGTCGCCGCTGGTGGTGACCGCGGCCAGCGCTGCCGTTCACTGTGCCTTCTGGTCTTTTCTGTGCACAGAGGTCTTCAGCCCTGAGAAGGAGAGGGAAGCTGGCGTCTCCAAGTCCAACAAAAAGTCCCTGAGGTCCAGGCAGCATTAGCTGGCACGTCCTGCTGGAGGTCCCTTCGAGGCCCGGGTCCATGGAGGGCATCAGCGTTTCCCCGGCTTCTCTGTTTTTTATGTTCGTTGGTGACAGGTTTGGAATAAAATTGTTCCCAGGAGTTGCTGCCGCCTTGCCTGCGGCTCGGCCTCGGTGCGTGGGTCCTGCGTCCTGGCCTGTCCTCTCTCAGAGCTCACCTGACTCCGAGCCCTGGGTTTGCATTCCAGCTGGTGAGGATGGCCGGCTGCCCCGCCTGGTGGCGCACTGTCCAGGGCCACCCCTGCCCGGCAGCTCTGTCCTTGCTTGGGGTGGCTTTGCCTTCAGCCCCCGGCTTTGGCCAATCACCCCCGCAGGACTGGCCAGCCCCTGGTCTGCACTTGAGTCTTGGCGTCCCTGCTCCTCAGTTTGGACCCTCCTCTGACCTGGGGTGCGAGGCCTGCGGCCTGGCTGGACTCGCTCTTCCCCTGGGGCTCCTTTGTCCCCTCTTGGTGACTGGCAGTCTGCCCATCCTGCGCTCTGAGTCGGCCCCCTCCTGCGTCCGGTCATTGCCCCATCCTGCCCCCAGGCCAGATCCCGGCCCCTCGCCCCACCTCAGCAGCTGCTCTCCCCACCCGGCTCTGCTGGGGCCTGTGCTCCTGTCCCCTGCGCCAGACCAGCGTGGTCTCCCCGAATGACAGGAGGGCAACTGGAGGCTCCAAAGTGGCCTCTGCACCTTCCTCCCGGTGCCTGTCCCCTGCCTGCTGGTTGGGGTGTGCCTCCCGCCTTCTGGGTGGCCCGTCTGCTCTCCTCCTTGCCCTCCACCCTTGGGTCTCAGTTCTCCTCACCACCTTGATGCTTTGTCCCCTTCCCTGCATTTCCTTGGTCACCACACTGGCCACGCTGCTGTGACTTCCTGTCCACCTGCCTCTTTTCTACCCCAGCAGGCCAGGACCCCTCAGACCGGCTCCAACTAGGAAGGGCTTGGCCACAGCAGCCCTTCAGGGGAGGCGTGATCTGTGGCCTCACTCTGGTGGCCTAGGGGCCTCACCTGGCACCTTATTTCTACCTCTGCTCTGTGAGCTGGCCTCGTGCTGAGGGCCTGCAAGGTGCTCTCCCAGAGCAGAACACAGCCACTTCTGCGCGCCGTGCTCTGCCCTCCCACCTCAGTGCCCAGGTGCCAGGAGTGGGAGGGAGGGTCCCATTCAGTGGCTCTGCTCCTCTGCACATGTCCTGGCTCCCGTGTGGACACTGCTCAGCTGGGATGAGTTCCAGCCATGGGCGTGGGAAAATCCAGGCTCACCCTTGGGCCATGGGAGGGCGTCCTGCCAAGCCTGGGGCAGAGTGGGAGGGGCTCCCTCAGCCAACGCCAGGTGCTCTGCCAGACCAGGGGAGAGGACGAGGACGCGGTGTACAGGTGGCCTCCCCAAGGCAGAGGGAAGCTCCGCCTTCTCCCTCCACAGAGCAGGCACCTGGGACGCGGTGGGCAAATGACATGTGGCGTGAGAGGCTCGCCCTTCAAGCGCCAAGTTCTGTCTCCTGGGCCCTGTGTCCCCTCCCTGTCAAAAGGGAGCCGGGCTTGGTGGTGCCTCAGGCAGCAGGGCAGGGCCACGACACCACTGGGCCACTTAACTAGCAAGGGGAGGGGCTGGGGGAGACAGGAGGCTGGTCTAGAGAGAAAGGCCTTGGCTTGGCCCCTGGGGGAGGGGGCCCCAGCCAGGGGGTCACAGCCCTGCCGCAGAGGCCGGGGACAGCACCCAACATGCATTGGCAGGAGTTTGGTTACGCGGTTCCAGTGGTCACATTCCTGCGTCAAGGGTCTCGAGCACCTTGGCCTGGGTCACTGGCCGCCTGGTTCGCTGGCCCTCTGGTACCCTGCCTGCATGATGCATACCCCCATGACGCATACCTGCCAATGTGCCCATCCGCATCCACGTGGCACTCCCTGGCCAAGCCCTCAGTGACTCCCAGCTCCTCGGCTGGCGTCCCAGGCCCCGCCCCGTCCTTCGCTGCCCTCTGCTCCCCTGGCGCCCTGACTCACTCCGGGAGTCATGGACGGGACCAGAGTGACTCACGGCTCTCCTGGTCCCCAGCCTCCCCCTCCGGGCCTTTGTGAGGTGCCGCACGATCAGGCTGTGGCGCCAGCTTGGCACTGGCACTTCCCCGCTGGGCCTTCCCAGCCCCTCCCATCACTGGCACCGGCACCGGGGCTGGGCTTTCCTTCCCCACCGTGGCTCCCTGCTGCGCCCGGAGGCCTGGGTCTCTGCCCACTCCAGCCGCTTCCTGCTCCCTGTCAGCCACCAGTGAACCTGTCCCCCAGTGCCCGCCTTGTGCCGTGTTCTCCGCTGCCCTCTGCTCTGAGGTCTTCGTGGACCTTACCACCGACACTCTTGATCTCCGTGGCCACTGTCCCTGTGGTGGGCAAAACCTCCACTCACTTGTCGCTGTGTCAGTGTGGTCCTGGGCAGGCCACCGGGATGGGTGACGGTGGGAGGCCAGTCCCTGTGCCTCCCGTCTCTGAATGCCCCCTGGCACTCTGCTTCCCGGCCAGCCTGAGGCCCTGTTCCTCAGAGCTGAAGCCCGCCCTGCGTGACTCCAGCCACCCTGCGACCTCTGCCCCGGGCAGGGCTTCCTCTCCCAGCCTGCCATCTGCTGTCCCCGCACATCTGCCTCGGCAGCCCCCACCTGCGGCATCGACTTGGCTCCGGTGCCCGACTTTGAGTCCCACTATTACAGGCTGCTCGTCCTAGCAGGGGCTCGGGACAGCCACAGGCCTGCCCACCGCAATAGGGGACGCCGCAGTTTGGGCCACTGGTGGGAGCTGGAGTCCAGGCCTGTGTTCCTCGGCTAGGAGGGGGAGCCAGGTGGCCACGCTGCTGCTGCCAAGCAACCGCTGTCCCTGGAAATGGTGGCTTTCCTGCCTCATACCTCACCACCTTTAGTGGCCACGTTCGGTGTAAATTTCATACGAAAACGTAAAGAACTTCCTAAGTCCCAGGTAGGGGACGAAGAGTCTCCTTGGGAGCAGCTGATCAGAGCTGTGCCAGTGTCACCTGAGGTCAGGTCGCATGCCTCCCCTCCCCCACACCCACTCTGCCTGCCCCGCCTGTGGACCCCCTCGCGGTTCTCATGGCCTCGGAGGCCTCAGCATACTCATTTCCGGGTTCTAAAATGCATATTCTGATGGCCTCTGCTCAGAACTCTGGGGCCCCAGGACCTGCTGACAAAGTTCAGGTCCCTTGACCCTCACTGTCCAGTTTCCCATTTCTCCTAGTGGCCACCAGTGGCCTGCGAGCTGGGCCAACCAGTCAGTGGACATCCCTGTGGCTCGGGGTTGTGCCAGGCTGGGGTGGGTCCCGGGCCTGGCCACCAGCTTCTTCCCTGGGTCTCCTGGTTAGCAGGACCAGCTGCTGAGCCTGGCGTCTCAGTGCATAAGGGTCAGGGTGTCCACCCTGCTAGGGCCACCCTCCCCGGCGAAAGGGAAGAATGGCACCGAGGAGAGAGCCCGGGAGGGGGAAGCCGGAAGCAGGGCGGGTGGAGGCCTTGCGCCAGGCCTGTTCCCAGCCGCCCTGCTGGTCCATTTGGACCATTTTTCTTTGTTTTTGCCTAAACCAGTTCCAGTTGGGTTCCATCCCGACCAGATGGGTTCCAGACACCCTGGCGCCCGCCCGGCCTCGCCATCTACACTTACTGGATCTTTAATTGCTTTTGTGTTTATTTTTCAGTCCTGGGGACACTGCGCTTTCCCACAGAGCCGCATCCCAGCCCTCTTTATTCTGAGACAGGATCTTGCTAATTTGCCCAGGCTGGCCCCGACTCCTGATCCTCCTGCCTCAGCCTCCCGAGTCGCTGGGATTACAGCCCCCGGCCTCCAGCCACGTCCCTCACCCTGTCCTGGGCTCGGTGGCCCTGACCCACCCATCGTTCCATCCATGCTCCCTGCCCTGGCCCTGCTTCCCGCCTTCCTCCCTCTGTGGGGCTCTCCTGTGGCTCCCCACCCAGCACTGGGGGCCACAGACATGCAGGGCTCCCACGCCACGCGCCCCCTGGTGGCAGGGACGGGCTCCCGCTTTTCCCTCCCGGGGCCTCCTCTGCTGCCCACCCTGCCCACACAGGAATTTGGTTGAACAAATGATTTTTAAAATATAATTATATTTTTCTTGTTTATTTATATTATTGAAAAAAACTGATTCACTGAGAAATGTTATAAAAAGTAAACGCCCATAGTCTTCCTGCCGGCCCCGACGTGCCCACAGTTCACCTGGAGCCTTTCCCTTGGGACACGCGCACATGCGCACACGCACACAGTCACACTGTCATGCCCACAGACGCACACCTAGACAGGTATGCACGTGAGGTCACTAGCTAAAAATGAAGAACATGCATTTCACTTAACAGGACAGCCCCTCTCCATGGCCTTAACAATTCTAACTGTTCAGAACAACAACAAAAAAAAAAACCCAAAAATGAAAAAAAAAAGACCAACAAAATTAAAAAGAAAAACCGTCCTAGGTTCCAGGGGTGAACAACACTCCTTCCCTGAAGGCCACTCTACCCCATGATGTCACGTCTCTCACGCCACCGCAGGCCGTACACCTCCATCCTCCTGCTGCTTCCTCAGGGTGGGTTCCCAGCGTGGGGCGGGCCGCCCACGGTGGGCCTGAGTGTCGGAGCCGCTTGCTTTTGCTGACCTCCTGCTAAGGCCCACCACGGGCGCTGTCCCTCCCAGCACTGAGCGCGAGGTGCTGATTTAGTCTAATTTGCACGTCTGAGCATTAGTTGTATTTTTGCAAAATACTTTTTTAGACGTATGGACCTTTATTTACCCCAGTGCCTCACACGTGCTAGGCATGTGCTCCACCACTCAGTCACAACCAGCCCTGTATTTGTTTTAACACCCCCCACATATTGCCACCCAAAACTGAATATGATTAACATGTTGGCATAACACCTGGAGGTTTTTAGTTGAAGGAATGAGATGTTTTACATAAAGGTTCCTTGGTTTTTAAGTTTCCTCTTATGATTGGTTTGGAGCGGATCCTCCACCTCATGGTCACCTGGTGGATGGATGCTGTCCAGGTCCAGACCCTGCTGCACGACGCCCACCCTCTGCCCTTCTCCTGTCTGCAGTAGGAGGCGGGAAGTTGGCGGCCCACACAGGCGGGAGGCCCGGCTCTGCTGACCTGAAGGCCCGAGGGAGAGCAGGTTCTCCTAGGGGTGCAGCCCTGGTCCTTCCCTGGGCACCTGTCCTGGGTGTGTGCTCAGGAAAATCCGCCACCTAGCACTGACACTGGCAGCAGTCTGTGCTTCAGTAAGGAGGACAGAAGTCTGCCACTGGGTTTAGGCTGCTATGCAGGTGACAAGGACCCTCCCCTGTACCCAGGGCCTCACCCACCTCTCCAGAGCCTGCAGGCTGTGGTGCTCCCCGGGCCTGGCCATGATGAAGTCCACATCACAGCTGAGATGAGTGCCAGGAGCTCTGGCCACTGCGTGAGCCTCTGCGGCCTCTGGAAGAGGCCACCACCGCTCTGTGTTCTAGAGGGGCGGGCACCAGGGCCAGGCGTCTTGGCCACCATGGAGGTGCAGCAGTGGGCCGGCTGGGACCCTGCAGCTGCGCTCACCCCCACGCTTTCCACTGGACACACCGCCTGCCCTTTCCCAGACGTGTCCAGCTTTCTGACGCGGCAGCTCCATGTGGGTGGACAGTCCAGAATGTCCTCCTGGGCTCCTCTCGCCTCCCGTGCCACAATGGGCCCGGGGCACAGCTCTGCTCGTCCAGAGCCCGGGGCTGGAACCACACCAGGCCCAGGCCCAGGAGCGAGCGAGCGGTCAGCGGACGCCGAGTGGCTCCTGGCTACGACCACCAGAAGCTGACGGAGAAGCTCAGGTCCAGGGCCCGCACGTAGTGCCAGTGTTTGGCGGGGATGAAGAGCATCTCTCCAGGGGACAGGGTGCAGGCCAGGAAGGGCGCCTCGGCAAACCGGGGGAACTTCTCCAGGTCGGGATCCTCCACGTCCACCTGAAGAAAGCAAAAGATGTCATTTTGCTGGAGTCTGGGGACGGCAGCAGGGACCGCCACATCACCCCGGTGCCCGCGCGCCCACCTGGCTGGTGTTGTGAAGAAGGTGCGTTTCGTGTGGGTACAAAGCTGCCGAGTCCCGTGGGGAGTAGAGCCGGATGTACTTCCTCCCCATCACCTGGAAAGGCCCGGGGGCTGCTAAGTGGCCTCACCGCGCTGCAGGCCCCTTGGTCCCTGTCTCCCTGACCCTCCCCGCACTGCTCCTTGGGCCTGCACTGCCCCTCCTGACCCGCACCTGCTTAGGTGCCCAGAGGCCAAGAGCTGTTGTCCTCGGAGCACACGGTGGGGGGCAGCTCGTGGCTGTGGCTCAAGCCTGGCTGCTACTCACAGCGCGTCACCTTGGCTAGCCCACACAGGCCTCGGGGGTTCATCGGCACCCCCGATTTCCAGGTGAGGAAAATGAAGCACTGAGAGATTAAACCAACAGCCCAGGGTCACAAAGCCACCTGCCTGGGGATGGCACTGGTGGCTGCTAGGCGGGCTGTCCACCTCCCCCGGGCAATGCCGACCTTCCCACTCATTCAGCCCGTCAGAGCCAGGGGGGCTTCCTGGGCAGCACCGTGTGCCCCTCCCCTCGCGGGACCTCCCAGGACCAGCCCCTCCGCCAGGGCCCCAGGTGGAGACTGTCCTCCCTGGAGGGGACACTCCTCAGGCCTGGGCTCTCCTCCCTTTCAGGGTCCCTGCATCTCTTTGAGGAGCTGGAATTTGAAGGTGGACCCTGAGGTCAGCCCTGTGCCTGGGCCAGCAGGAGGCAGAGCCACTGGTCTGGTGGCAGCTCCTACCTGCACCAGGAAGTTTTGCTGCGGGTCCTGGTGCAGTGGGGACACGGTTCCTTGGGGACCGAACCAGGCATTGATGGTGATCTCGTCCTCCTCCCCGTCGCCCAGGCAGCAGTAATCAGGGATGCCAATGTCCTGTTTCAGCTCCGGGATCTGCGGGTGTCAGAGAGAGATGGGGGGTCGAGGAGAGGCCGGCACCTGCTGCCGGAAGTGCCTGACAGGTGGGCACACGCCACTCCTAGCTAGGGCCATATTTTAATGGAAAAGAATTTAAAAACAATGAAAAAACAAATATGTAATCAGCAGATAATAGTTGTAGTCTTATTTTCATATCTTTTGCCATGTCTACGGATTTCTTATTTATTTCTCTTTTAAAAACCTGATATTAATGCTTTATACTAAAACCAAAAAACACACAACAGCTTTCATACTCTAGCATTAAAGTTAAAAAAAAAAAAAAGGAAAACAAAAAGAAAATAGTTTTAGGAAATCCAGAGAGGATTTCCTAAAATTCACTACTGGTAAACAAATCCCTATTGGCTAGGTGCGGTGGTGCCTGCCTGTAATCTCAGCTATTCAGGAGGCTGAGGCAGGAGGATTACAAATTTAAGGCCAGCCTCAGCAACTTGGTGAGACCCTTTCTTAAAATAAAAAGGGCTGGGGATGTAGCTCATTAGTAAAGTGCCTCAAACAAACAAAAACCCTATGTTACATTTTATAAATTAACGGCTCTAAAGACTGAAACGCCAGAGCCCCTCCCTGCTGGCTGAGGTGGGAGGTCAGGACACAGTGCAGAAGACACGAAGACCTCAGTACATATGTCACACAAATAAATCAAAAGACAGAAGCAGATGGACACAAATATGACAGAGGGCTTCCGTCTCAGCAAATAAATCCAAGTGAAACCAAGAATGAGTCATCGTTCCCCGTTAATCAAATAAGAAAGATTGAAAGCATGATAACCCAGCCGTGGCGGGACGTGGCGTCTGGCGTGTGGGCACGGAGTGGAAGGAGTGGTAAACCTGTGTGACGGCGACAGGCTCGTGATCAGGGCTAAAGAGCGTCTGCATCTGACCAGTGGGAGTGGCTTGGTGCCCGGCCCCTCGTGGCCAGTGGGACATGGAGGAGCCCGTGATAGGAGGGCTTCCAGGTGCACGGGGCCACACTGTCAGTGCACTTGCCTGGTGGCCCCAGGACAGGCAGTGCTGAACACGTCCCTGGCAGAGCTGGCCAAGGCCACAAGCTGTCCCTGTGGCGCTTCCTCGTGAGCCCCCCCCCCCCACAGCCCCTGCGCCCTCTGGGACAGCGAGGCGCCCCTAGCCGAGGCCTGGCCTCCGGGGAAAGGGGACTGAGGTGAGCACAGCACCGTCGGGTGGACTTCCCAGAGCCCCACAGGACTGTCGCCAGCACTCAGGGTCGCCTCGCCGGCCCAGGGCCTCAGAGTGAAAAGCCACTCGCTCAGAGGCAACCGCAGCCTGACCAGCCCTCAGCAGGCACTGGGCCAGCTCAGGGCAGGGCCCAAGGGAGAGGCCAGCCGTCCCTGGAGGCTCCGACCCCAGACCCCGTTGGAGCTGCTGGTATTTTTCCCGCTTGAGAGGAATGAAGCAGGGGCGTCACCTGCCACTTGGCCAGCAGCACCTGGGAAGGCAGGAATGTCCCCCTGCAGGGAGCTGGGCCCAGACGCTGCCCTTCTGTCCTGTGAGAGCCCATCTCCCGGGGCCAGCGTAGAGACCTGGAGTAGTGGTGTCCCATGCTTTGAGCTAAGACACAGATTCTTGCACTGAGGCCCCCCAGTGCCACAGGGGGGTCTCGGGCCATTTGCAGGATTCTCAAATGCCTCCAGTAACCTCAGGCTCCCCGTCACATCACACTGCTGCTTCTGGCTGGGGTGGCACCAGCCCTGGCCCTGTGGGACACTCAGCAGAACTCTGATTGGTTCCTGATGACATCATCAGGATTTCTGAGAGGTGATTGGTTGAACCGATCCTGCAATCCGAATCACTGACCAAAGACCCCAAGAGAACAAAGATTTCATGATGTGACAAGCAGCTGGAGACAGGCCTGCAGAGGTGGCCAAGCTTAGAAACCAGTCCCTGCGAGGAAACCAGTGCAAGGTCCTGGGGCAGGAACCTGGGGGGAGCTGCTGAGCAGCACGGAAGCCAAGAGGTTCCAGAACAGTCTGCGCCACTCTGCCTGCCCCGGGCCTCCGCTGCTGAACTGTCAGACACCTGCTACTGCTGGCGCTGGGCCCCGCTGCCCCCATATGGGGGGCACCTGTCACTGGGACCGTCCTGCCCTCTCTGGTCTTCAGCAAGTCTGCGCTCAGGGTCTATCTATCTGGCCTGCCAGGGCTGGACCCAGAAGCAGCAGGCCAGGCGGGGGCGGATGAAGGCGGCAACTCTCCCCCTCTTGGGGGGCTCAGGTCCCATGGCCTTGAGGCCTCGCTGGTCCTTTGGGACATGTTCCTCGGCTCTGGCCGCACCTGGACTTCTGACAGTGTCCCACCCCCGGGGACTGCCAGTGGCTTCCCTCTCCCCTTGCTGCAGGCTGGAGCCCCTCCTCACTGGGGGTCCTGGGACTCAGGCCTGCAGCCTCACCTGCCTCCTGCTGGCCCTGGTGAGGAGGGGCAAGAACCCGCACGAGTGGGCAGCAGTGAGCCAGCAGGCTTCCCTGGGGGATGGGGAGAGGGTGAAGGACAGGGGCCCAGCCTCACTCACCTGGTCAAAGAGCTGGTGCTGCGCAAGGTACCCGATGTCACTGGCCTGGACAGACATGGAGCAAGAGAAAGCGCTGTTAGCATGAGCCTGGGGCTTCTTCTGGAGGCTGCCCCAGGCCCCGCCCCCACGAGGCCCCTCCCCTCCCCACGAGGCTCCGCCCCATCTGAGCACCTGGTCCCCAGGGTGGCTGCTGGTGGGAAAATGGAGGCCACCATGGATACAAGGATTTTTGTTTTTCCGTTTAAAAAATCATTTTAAAAAACTGATAAATACACATAATTTGTATTTTAATCCCTTTAAGGCACACGGTCCTGGTGTTAAGCACACCTACCTCGCTGCACAGCCAGGGCCACCACCCACCTCTGAACCTTCTCTACCTTGCTGGGTGGAACCCGACACTCAGGAAACACTGGGGCACTAGACCACAGAGCCACGTCCCCAGTCCTACTGTGTGTTTTATTTAGAGACAGGGTCTCAATGGGTTGCTTAGTGACTCGCTAAATTGCTGAGGCTGGCTTTGAATTCTCCGTCCTCCTGCCCCAGCCTCCCGACCTTGACGTTTCCTTTTTACATTTTTTTGGCCCACTGATGAGAACCTGGACCCCACGTGAATCTCTCCCAGGTCAACACGCAGGCAACGGCTCCTTCTCTTAAAGACTCCACGATGTTTTATAAACAGGACTTGAGGGCATGCATTCAACTGTTTGCCCGTTCGGGGACATCCAGGGTGTTTTGCTATAGCAGTTCGACTAACAGCCCCCAAACACTGTGCTCATGTTCATGGGACGTGCGCTTCCAAAAGCACCGTTAGGCACGCGTGCGTGCATTTAAATCTCCACACTTCCGCCAGGTTCTTTCCCCAAGTTAGACTCTTCCTGCTCCTGTCGCCCGACAGTCGGCCCACGCTGGGGGTCATCACGCTGTGACAATTTTGCCAATGAGCTGGAGATGAGGCCTTCGCAGCCCGGGCCCCCAGGGCTCGGGGTTCTGCTCAGATGCCAAGCTCTTCAGGGGTCCCACAACAGGGGAGGGACGGGACTCAGGGCACCTCTCACCCCCCTGCAGGCAGAGTGGAGCCAGTGGGTGCTGGGGAGCTGAGGCCGGGCAGTGACGGAGCAGGGGGGCCCCTCTTCAGGAGGCCCCCAGAGCCTCCGTCCTTCCGTCCTCTCCACAAACACCACCGAGCCCTACAACAAGCCAGACCCCAGGCTGAGCACACACAGCAGCCCTGACGCCATCTCCATCCTGGACAGCGGGTCGGGAGGACACCGGGTGAATGCTGGCCACACGGTGCCGAGCACTGAGCTCTAATCCCCACGGGGACACAGGCATCGTCACCCGCAGCCCTGAGTCACCCACCACACTAAAGCTGAGCTTCCCAAAGTCGGGCCCCGAGGACAGGCGAGGCCCAGGACACTGCCGAGGCCCAGGCCAGCGAGGGACAGCCTGTCTAACCCCGCGCTGGTGCTGCCTCTGCCCTGGGCCTAGCCACGGCCTTCCCGGCCAGGCTGACCCTGAAACCCAGGTGCCCGGTGTCACGGGGCTTCTCTAGCCCATGCTGCCTCCCAGGCCTCAGGGAGAGCAGGAGGCGGGCTGCCAAGGCGGCCGAGTCCCCAAGTGCCCGCAGATGAGGCTGGGGCCCCGGTTGAGAAGATGGGGCAGGAAGGGCACCGAGGAGGGGCCCTGGGGTCCCCCAGGAGTTCACAGTGAGCAGCTGAGATGGACAGCGGGGAGGGGGCCATGCGACCACAGGTCTGCAGGCTTCTCTGAGAGGATCCACGATCCAGTCTGCTCCAGAGGCAGAGGCTGGGCCCGGGCTGCTGGGGACGGGGGCTGGTGGCACGTGAAGCACAGCCCCGCGGCCCCTCCATGCAGGCCGAGGCCCACAGGCCACAGCTGTCCCCTCACTCTAAGGGTCTCGGCCCTGATCTCAGCCCACACGAGGCCACAGTCACACTCTCTGCCACCCACGGGCCTCACTGCCACGAATCTCCAGTGGGAACTGGGGACAGCTGGCTGGGAACCCTGACTGGCCCCTGTGCGAGTGTCACCTGTGGGATTCACGGCGTGAGCCTCGACTCCCCTCCCAGTGCACCCACCGACGGGGGTGGAAGTGACGACCCACAGGAACCCGCCCGCGAACGAGGAAGGGACCCGGCCCGGAGCCCACCAGCGGGTGGAGGGCGAACCCGACGTGGCCACACGATGGGATTCCCAGCCACTCTCAGGGACCACGGCTGGGAACGGCACAGCCCAGGGCCTTGAGGAGTGAGGGAGAGGGACAGAGGCCACCCCAGCGGCCACGCGCTGTGCCATCCCTTGGTGTGAAGTGCAGAGAATGGACGCATGCACAGGGACAGGGAGCCGACTGGAGGTCACGGGGGTGGGGGAAGGGAGACGGGAAAGGACACCAATGTGCAGGGGCGTCCCCAGGGCGGGAGACTTCTGGAAGGGGAGGGGGGGCCTGGGGGGGCATGACCCCCAGGGCACCAGCAGGACAAGGTGGCCTGGAAAGAGGGGCCCCGGTGCCACCGCAGCCCACCGGCCTGCTCTGGCCAAGCCCCGCCACAGCCCAGGGACGCTCCTCCCACCGCCGCACCCCAGGGACAGCCGTGCACACCTCGCTCACGACGTGCTTGCTGATGAAGTCCCCAACGGTCATGAGCCTCTGGGACCATTCCTCGTCTGTGTACCGGGAGCCAACTTCCACGGGCACCGTCCGGCAGCCAGCCACCTCCTGGATGTACTCCAAACTGTCAGAGACACAAGCATTGTCCTTGTCACTGTCACCATCACTACCGACTGCTGGGCATGGTACAGAGCAAACTTCAGCCGTGGTTTCCTTTAGTTCCCACAAAACCTCATGAGGCAGAGACTACTCAGGCACAGAGAGGCAAGGTTACTTGCCAAAGGTCACACAGCAAATGCACAGAGCCAGGTCTGCTGGGCCGCTCCGCTCCCCTGTGGGTTGTGGTCCCTCTGAATCTCCCTCTGCTCATCTTGTCACTGAGCTAACAAATGGTGGGCAGTATGAGGTGGCGGTGGGGGTGAGGTGCCTGGCTCTGAACTCTGGTGGCCTGAGGTGGAGTCCGGGCCTCACCATGACAGACCAGGGGACCTTTGGCAATTTGCCCAGCCTCTGAGTCCCTGTGCCCATGCAAGGTGGAGGTGACAACAGTGCCTGACCCACAGGGAGTGAGATCAGGCACAACATGCCACGTGCCTGTCCTGGCACAGGGACCGAGGGACAGCACCCAGGAGGCCTGCTGTGCGACGGCTCCGGCAGCCCCGCCCCCCTCGCCAGCCTCAGTGTTCCCCCGGACCCCCTCAATGCCCACTGTGCTGACTGGACCTCAAAGCTCAGGGCACTGAAGGCCTGGCCCCCACGGACGCCGTGGTGATGACTGGACTCTGAGGGCTACGACCTCATCAGTGGGTGATTCCCCGGGGGGATCCGCAGTGTTAATGGGCTGCTGGGGGTGGTGGAGGCCAGGAGGGCTGGTCGGAGGAAGCGGTCATTTGTATTTTGTCCCCAGCCCCCTGCTGGCTCGCTCTGCTTCCTGCTCCACCACGTGCCCCTGCACGATGTCCTGCCTCCCCACAGGCCCAGAAACAACAGAGACAAGTGACCACGGACTGGAACCATAAAAAACATTTTTTTTTCTCCTTTAGGTTGATTTTCTCAGCTGTTCTGTCACAGTGATGGAAAGCTGCCCCAGTCCACTTCCCTTGAGCTACACAGTTGGACCTGTGCACCACAGGGGATTGGTTCCAGGTCCCCTGCAGATGCCAAAAATCCAGTGATGCTCAAGTTCCTTATTTAAAAAACAAAAACAGTGTAATCCCAGCAGCTTGGGAGGCTGAGGCAGGAGGATGGAAAGTTCAAAGCCAGCCTCAGCAAAAGGGAGAGTGAGACGCTGTCTCTAAATAAAATACAAAACAGGGCTGGGGTGTGGCTCAGTGGTCAAGCGCCCCTGAGTTCAATCCCTGGCACAAAACAAAACAAAAACAACAACCCAGCATAGACCTGTCACTTCCTCACTACTCAACACACGGCATGTGGTGTAAAAGCTGTGGGCAGTTGTCCCACTGCCTGGCTTAGGGAACAGTGACAAGAAAATAAGTCTGTGTGTGATCAACAGAGGCGACACGGTAGCTCTGCGTCCAGTCCTGACCCGTGGTTGGTGGACACTGAGGAGCGGAACCCGCGGCCATGAGGGCCCACTGTGCCACCTCATTTCCCAGGGCAGGCCCAGCCAGGGCGCGGTCACTGTCCAGCGGCCTGAGTCTGGGGAGCGGCTGTCTCTGGGCTATTCTGGGCTGGGCCTCGGGGCCCTGAGGAGGCTGCGGGACTCCTGGACCCTGCAGGGGCAGAGTGGACCTATCTGGAGACCGCCACCTGGACCCTGTGAAACTTGGCTCAGGGCAGAGCGAGCTGTGGCAGGGACGTGGCACGGCCTCTGGCGGCCCCTCGAGCCTCCTGTCGTCCATCCCGGGGGCTTGCTAGTGAGTGTCTGTGGGGACTCTGGTGACCTGTGGGTGGCCGGAGGATTTCGGGGAGGCCTGGGGACACTGGGTGGGAGGGAGGGGAGTCCTCGTGATCCGCGGTGACCACCCACCTCCACTTCTTCATGCACGGCCAGTGGTCAGCCACGCCTTCCAGGATCACGGGCCTCTCGGGAACCAAGAACTGCTCCTGGAAGTGCTGCAGGGACGGGCGGCGCAGCCGGGGCACGGCCCTCTCGGGCTCCAGCTCTGGAGTGGGGACGCGGTGGCGTCTGGCTCTCTGCTCAAAGTCAGAACACAAGGCACCAGCTCAGGCGGCGGCCAGGAACCCACACAGTAGCAGCGGCTGAGGTGGCCTCGGTGACACCACAGCCACACAGCCCTGATCGCTGCTGCCGCCGTGGCCACCAGGAGACCCAGCGCCGCCGGCCCCTCGCATCTCAGGACAAACGTCTGTGGACTCGCAGGCTGTGCTGCCCACGTGGACGCCACCTTAACCACAGTGTCCTGTCCTCACAGCCACCCCTGGGAACCGCATGGTGACAGCATGATGAAGAGTCCCCTGTCACCAGCACCTGGTCACTAGCATGTGGCCACGCAGCTTTCCTTGGCCTCTCCCACCTGGGGACCTGACAGGAGTGTTGGGTCCCTGGGCCTCTGTCCACATCTGCTGGGCAAGGTCACAGTGCCCAGACCAGCTGGGGCACACGCGGCTCCCGGCTCCTTCCGCCACACACCGCCCCCCCAGCAGGACGACCTTGGGCCAGGTCACCTCCACCTTCGCGTGGGACACATGGTGGACTGGGGGCTGCACCCGGAATCCAGGGGACAGATACTGGTTCCTGATCTGTGCACCTGTCCTGCTGTCTCGAGGCCAGGTGCCATGCCCAGCCCTTGGCCCCTGGCACCCTCAGGGACACTGGGACCTGCGTGGCCTTGCGGCTGAGGAAGACCCTGCGGCTGCCCGGCTGCATCTCTCTCCTCTTTAACCAGAGGTGGAGTCACCCCTTGCTGGCGCATGGTTCCACGGCTCCGGTCCTGCCATCAGCAGTGTGTCCCCTGCCTGGTGTCCAGCAGGCTCCCGCGCCCTGCTGACCTAACTTGGCGGGTGACAGGGACGGTCCCTCTCTCTTCCCAGTGGGATCTCCTTTTCGTTGGGCTGTGTGACAAGGACATCCACTCACTTACCTGGTGTAAAACCCTGCTCACGTGGGGAATGTCCAGGCCACAGGGACAGCCACGAGGCCCCTCCTGGTGGCTGACAAGCTGGACTTTCCCTTCTGGGGCTCAGGACCCTAACTGCCCCGTCACAGCCAGGAGGGGACGGAGGCTGAGAGCGGAGCCGTCCTGGCTCATCCAAGGTGGCCCGGGGTCTGGGAGGGGCTGGGCTCTGACGCCTGCTGCGTAAACTCAACCGCGCTGGGCCTGGGGGACGTCGCCCAGCCCCCCTCGGCCCCCTCAGCTGCTTCTCCCACCACAGGGTCCCCACCCCGGCTCCACAGGGCGCTGCTCTGGCAGAAATGGGAAAAAGGGTTTTTGACAAAACAAACCCGGGGGCTCGTTCACATCAGCCGAGAGGCTACTGTCGGGGCGCCCAGGTCCCCGTGGGGGGCCTCACCCAGGGGCAGAAGCGGACAGGGAGAGCGGGGCAGGGTGGACATCCCTGTACCTTGGCGCCGGGCGGCTCCGGGCTGGGGCGGGCGGGCCTCTTTCCAGAGCCGAGGTGCGCCTGGAGGACCGCGGCGGCCCTGAGGAGGGCGTCCCCCAGGATGGCCGCCCCCATCAGCAGGCCCATGTCGCACACCCGCAGGGCCTCAGTGACCGCGGTGGCCTCGCGGGGCGCCCGGCACAGGCACAGGGCCTTCAGGAGGCAGCCGAAGGCGTAGACCCGCCGCCAGTCCTTGTGCACGTCCCGCCAGGGCCCCGTGTTGAGCCTCTCCCAGGCGACGTCCAGGAGCGCCTCGCTGTCCTGCAGGCACTCGGCCCGCCGGTCCCCGTACAAGTGCGCGGTGGCCTGCCGCAGCAGCAGCACGACGCTCCTGTCCACCGCGTCCCCGAGCTCCAGCCTCAGCTCCTCCTGAGTGCCCGGCAGCAGAGCCCTGAGGGCTTCCCAGAGGGCGCCAGCTGCCACCCCGGGGCCTCCGTGACTCTGGGTGCCTTCTGTCATCTGGGCCATCCAGCGGGGTCAGATCAGCACCTGACAGGGACAAAACCAGCGTTAGGGACCAGGAGGGGCCTGGCCCGCAGCCCACAGGGGCCCTCTTCAGAGCGGCCTTCTCTGCTAGCCATGGCTCTGCAGCCCCCCGTCCAGGTGTGCGATTTCCAGGGCCTGGTATGCAGTCAGCACTGCATAAGTGCACGCTCAGGGAGGGTGGATGCTGCGGAGCCTGGATCCCCAGCCCCCCCACACCTGGCAAACCCCCACCCACCTCAGGCCCACCTCCACGACCCCTGTGAGGACTGCAGGGCTCTCCAGGTCCCCGGTCCCCACTGCCCTCGCGCTTGCTTAGCCCCCTCCACCGCCAGGCCTTGAGCCCCCTGGGCGCTAGCACAAGACCCCCCCGGGACTGCAGTCCTCCCTCAGTTCCTGTGCGTGATTGGCATGAGTCCACCTCCCAGAGGTCCCCTGCAGGCAGCGTGGTCCCTGTGTGGCGATGCTCAGGTGGTGGACCTTTAAGAGGCGGGGCTCCGTTGGAGGTGAGAAGGTCACTGGGACTCCCATTGCAAGGTGGGCCCATCACCACGGGGCAGGTTGTTAAGTGAGGTCCCCTGCGTTTGGCCTCCTGCACCTGCTTCCCCTTCACTTGTCCACCATGCTGTGATGCAGCCAGGGACCCTCACCAGATGCTGGCACCATGTTGTTTGGACGTAGAGTCACCAGCATAGTGAGCCAAATGAAAACTTTTTTCTTCATACATTCCCTGGTGTCAGGTATTCTGTTACAGCAACACAAAACAGAATGAGACGCATCCCTCATCTCATTTGAGCTAAGTGACAGGGGCCATGATGCTCTTTGCAGAATGTTTTAGGCTAGGGGTGCCACGTGCTGTTGCTGCTCCTCTGCCACAGCAGCATATAAATGGCCATACACCATTTATGAACCGATAGGCATCACTGTGTTCCAATAAAACTTTATTTGCAAAAGCAGATGGTGGGCTAGATGTGGCTTGCCAACCCCTCCTGTATGCTGCAAAGTCCTTCATCTTCTTCAGGCACAGAGTTAGGCTGTGTCTCCCAGGCTCACCTGCAATTAGTTGTCACCTGCTGTGTGCTGGTGACTATGAATGCAGGGATGTATGCCGCTCCCAGGTCTGGCCCAGAAACAGCTCCCACAGGATCCCACACACTTTACCTGTCCTCTGGCTGCAAGTGAAGTTCCCTGAGAGAGCCACAGGATGGCAGGAAGTTGGCACATTAAGAAAAGAAGCCTGGGAAGGCCACCCAGCCAGGAACAGACAGGCTGGAATGGTTCGTGAGCAAAAAATAAACTTGTTTAGGCACAAAGGTGCTGGTGATGCTTGTTACAACAGTAACCCTGCCCTGATACAGGCTTATTATTTCTGAAAATGGCCCCCTGCAGATGTCCACACCCGACTCCCTATAACCCATGAAGGCCTCTGTAGGTGATTAAGAATAATGACCTGGAGATGGGGCAACTATTCTGGGTTATTTGGATGAGGCCATCCTAATACATGAGGCCTTAAGGAATGGTTTCTTTAACTGTGATTTTGGAAACATGCTCAGGGTCTCTAACAGGGGTACCTAGCAGCACTGGCTGGGAACACAGGGAGAGGCCACTCCCCACGGGAACGTGAGCAACTTTCAGATGCTGAGAAAATCAAAGAAATGGATTGTCCCTGGGGCCTGCAGAAAGGAGGTCCTGCTGAGTCCTTGATTTTAGCCCAGTGAGACCCACGGCACACTTCTAACCCACAGGTGTGACAGCTGATGAATCTGTGCTGTTGGCAGCTCCAGGCTTGTGGTGATCTGCCCAGCAGTCGTGGACAGTACGACTCGTGTTAACCAACAGGACTGGGTGAAGCTGGGGGCACCACTTCCGTGATGAGGTTCCATGAGACTGAGGGGCACCCTGTCAGCAGACCCTCTGCCCACTGGGCTTGCACACATTGATGACACAGAGGCCATGCTGGAGGCGCCTGGGTGGCCACAACTGGGGGAACCTATGGTCAACAGTGAGGCGCTGAGGCCTCTGCCCAGCAGACCTGCAGGAACGGCACAGACTAGGAGCTGGACCCCTGTCCAGTTGAGCCTTTGGGTGGGAACTGGCCTTGACTGACACATGACTGTAGCTCTGCCAGCGCTCCCCGTGCAGAGGACCTCGCTGACCATGCCACACTCCCGACCCCCACACACCAAAGTCCCAATGGTTGCTGTTTCAGGCCACCCAGTTGTGACTTGCTGTGCAGCGACAGAGCTGGTCCAGATTTCAGGGACACCTGGTCTTCATGTTCTGTCGCGGTGACTGATCACACGACAGGACATTTATAACTAGGGGTGCATTTAGCTCATGGCTTCGGTGGTTAGAAGGTCCAGGTGAGCAAAAAATGAACAGCCTGCAGAGGGCTGTCCTGCCACTGGGGACTTCCTCCACCTGGGGTTAGGACAAGGCCACCAGCCACAGCCAACTGGCTTTTGTAGCAAACCCGCCCTGGAGGTGACTGCCCGCTCCCTCCCTGACCCGTTAACCCCAGAGTCCACGATTGGGTCACTCTGTCCACGAGTGCAGAGCTTTTGTGAGCCAGCCCCCACGAGAGGTCCCCACTTCCACACGGCTGCGCTGGGACCACGTCTCCAACACGTGGACTTTCAGAGACATTTTTTCCCCTATGGTGCTGGGGACAGAAACCTGGGCCTTGTGCACCAGGGGAACGCTCGCCCACGGCGCTGCTGCACCCAGCCCAGCCACATCCTCCGCAGCAGCCTGGGCCTCGTGGGCCACTCACAGAAGCTCGGGAAGGCATGGCCCCCTTCAGCTCACATGTGACTAGTGCAGCCAGCAGCAGACGGGGACAAGGAGAGCAGCCGCCGCGGGCAGGGTTCTGAGTGCGGCAGATGTCCTCGTTCAGCCCTCACCGTGACCCCCTCATCGTGACCCCAGCTGATGACACACACAGGCCAGGGACTCGGAGCACTCGCTGAAGCCCTGAGGAGAATGATGGTCCCCACGTCCCAGATCAGCTGAGGCGGAGAAGGACCCCGGGGGCCGCAGAGACTCCACCCAGGTGGCACGTGGACCCGCCACCTTGCGGATGAGGAAACCGAGTCGAGGAATCTGAGGCGCGGGGGTCAGCTGCACACAGGGCACCCCGCTCCTCACTGCAAGGCCTCCGTGTTCTGCAGTCCCTCCTCCTGTCCCAGTCACAGGTGGCATCAGGTTGCTGGGGTTCTGCGGCCCGCACCCCGGCTCCGAGCCCTTCCCTCGGGTCTTGCTCCCCGTGCAGCGGGAGATGGAGAGGCCGTGCTCACGTCCCCACCCCGTCACCGTGCTGGGGAGGGAACTAAAGCCAGCAAGAAGCAACGTGGCGCAGCCCAGCCAGCAGTGCGTGGACACCGTGGCACAGCCCGCAGCCCTGTGGTGACACCCGCAGAGCGGCAGCGAGGTCTGAGGTCCAAGACTAGGAGGGGCAGTGGTGGCCCACAGCAGCCCTCGGCCTCAGGGGTGTCAGCGTCGGGGCACCTGCACCAGGGCCTGTCGCCGTCCTGGGCTCACAGGGGATGGGCCTCTAGCTGGCGTGGCTGGATGGGGGACTTGGGGAGCCCCGCTGGCCTGGCCAAGCCACCAGGATGGGTCTTACTGCCAGCCCCCTAGGAAGTTCCTGGGGGGTCTAGTGCTGGCCCCATTCAGCTTTCTTGAGGAGAGTCACACCCAAACCTCCAATGTGGCGTCCCCTGGCATGACAAGGGGACCCACCAGCTGGCCAGGGCCTCCTGGCTCACGGCCTGAGTGCCTCACACAAGCCTCACCTTGGGCCCAAGATCCCAGAGGCCCCACCCCCGGCTTCTCCTACACGTCTGTGAGAAGGTCCCCAGGAGACCCCGCCTGACTACAAAATCGGCCCCCACTGGGGACGTCCCTGGCAGCTCTGTGAGCTGCTCTGCAGAGCCAACGTGAATGGTCTCTGGAGGGCTTCCAATGGGCTAGGACTAGTCTCCTGGATGCAGACTACGGGCTGTGTATACTGGTGTCACGGTGGATTCTGAAATGGCCCCTTACAGGGTCACATGGGCCTTACAAAGCCAGCTTCCCAGGGGCCCGTGTGTCTTCTCACTGGTCCTCCCCAGGTGTCCTGTGCTCCTTGGCCTCTGGGAGGAGCTTGCAGACCACGCGAACAGCCCTCTGGGACAGGGGTCCCGAGCTGGCCGTACAGGTCTCCTCTGGACCAAATAAGATAGTCTTTCTCTTGTGGAGTCGCAGAGGTGGTGTCTGCCAGCGGTCAGCCCTGTTGGGCATTAGCCCAGAGCTCCAGGCCAGGTGAGTCAAAATGGCTTTCAGAGCACCTCTGTGGCTACCTGGAGGTCTCCCAACAGGCCTCACGGATGACGGAACCCTTGACCCCCAGCCAGGGCTGTCTGTTGGCAGCACGAGGAGACGGTCACAGTCAAGTGGCACGCTGGACTTGCCAGTCTGCTTCCAGGGCCTTCCCACAAGCTCTCATGTTGCCACATCAAGAGGCGCCACAGCCTGGTCGGTGGAACTCTTCCAAAGTGGCATTGTGACCTGTTTTTAAAACTAGCCTCCTTATAGATTGAGGCTTGAGGACCAGGTGTCATCGGATTTTGTCTTCACTTTACAAATCACTCTTTCATGGTTGCTTTATAATCAAACACCTGAAATGTGCCATTTGATTTTACCTATTGAGTCTCCAGGAAGCAGCCTCGTGTTGGCTCCAGTCATCTTAGCGGACGGCCTTACAAGAGGAGGAGCCTGACGGGCAAGGTGGCACACATCTGTGATCCCCGCAGCTCGGGAGGCTGAGGCAGGAGGATCACAAGTTCAAAGCCAGCCTCAGCAAAAGTGAGGTGCTAAGCAACTCAGTGAGACCCTGTCTCTAAATAAAATACAAAATAGGGCTGGGGATGGGGCTCAGTGGCTGGGTGGCCCTGAGTTCAATCCCTGGTACCACCCCCCAAAAAAGGAGGAGCCTTAGACTATAGGGTTCAACACTTTCTTGTTGGCTCTGAGAGTCTCCCATGTGGGCTGCAAGAAACAGGCTCTGCACAGGCAGCTGCTTGGACTGGCCCCACAGGGCAGGGCAGGGCAGTCCAGGCTCAGTGGAGCTAGAGTTCTGAACAGCCTTTTGTGCAGGCTTTAGAGACAAACTTTGAGCAGTCTCCATGTGTGGATCTGGTAAAAAGATTTCTTGATGGTTGAAGCCGTTTTCCAGAAGGCACCAGCCTGAGTAGCCTGGTGAGCTGGCCTCATGGATCGGCTTCCTGGAATTTCTCAGTGAGATCCTTTTAGAAAAGGTCATAGTCACCCAACAGCCCTCCCTAGGAGGGAGACAAGTGTAAGATGTGGAAGTCTTTTTAGAATGGCAGTGCGGACTGGCTTCCCAGAGCTTCACATCAAAGGGTTTACTGTGAGTTGCATAAACAGCCAGGTGCACACTAACTATACGTAAGACTCATCATCTAAACCAGGATGTTATTCATTTAAGTGTCTGGAAAAGGAAAGAGCTGCGGTTACTCCAGGCAAAATGATACCTCCATCACCCAAGAATGTAACCTATGAAAAAGCAGCAGTGGTCCCATGTCCTCGCTTAACAAGTCGGTCTCCCAGAACTTAACAGGTAGTGGCCTTCAATACCTCTTTCGGTTTTTTTTTTTTTTTTTTTTTTGGCAGTGGTGGTTTCTGTTATAGAAATAACCTGAGTGGTCCTGTGTCCTGGCTTTGCACACTGGCCTGCAGGTGCCACATGTAATAGGGAAAGGTCAGGTACGGGCTGCATCAACAATTTTTCTCAGTAGACTTAATAATTCAGCCCCTAAAAGGCCTTAAATAAAAGCTTGTTGGCGTACAAACCTTTTTGTTAAGAGGGTCAGATAAAGATTGTGTGAGCTAGCCTGAGTGGTTTTACTTGGCTTTATAAACAGTGGGGCTTTGTACTAAACCAAGGAGCCAAGGGCAGGTCTCGGCTTCCTAAACCCGCCATCCAGAGTTCATGGTGCTGCGGGAACACAGTCAAAGCAAGTTCCGGTTGGTTATAAGGCACAGCCTTCTAGGAAACCACTGGGGCCATTATTTTTAAAACCCCACTGCTCTGGAGCACCCCCGCCCCCAGCAGCCTTGAAGCAGGCTGGTGAGACGGCCTGGGTGGGGGTGCGGGGAGAAGCCCACCAAGGTTCCGGAGGTCTCAGGCCGGCCTTATGCAATAGCCAGCACCACGCGGGCCATGAGGAAGCCTCCCAAGGGGGACTTCCAGATCACATTGAACTTGTGATCCTCCTGCCTCAGCCTCCCTCCAGCCTCCGTCCGGCTTTCCAGGCGCCGGTCAGTTTGGTAACTTCTTCAGTTCCAGGCAGCATCGCACAGGAAGAGCTCTGTGACACCCTGCAGGGAGGTCTGCACTGCACGGGGCACCTCCGGCTCTCTAAGGGCCACGCAGACGTCTCGGGTGTGCCATGTTGTCGTCCTGGCCCTAACACCTGCCTTGACCTTGCTACCTGACACTCGAGGGCAGGGGCCTCCCTTTGCTGGGTCTTGAGTGGGCAGGGCGACACGATGCTGGATTAACCCTATCGAGTGACAGACTGTTGTCTTTCCTCCCGGGGCTGCAGGCGTGCTCCACAGCAACCGTCCGCCTCCCGCTCCCCAGCGCCTTCCCGCGGCTGCACTGCTCGTGGCTAGTCCTCGGGGCCGAGCGCAGGGTCTTCAGTGGGCCTATCTCCACGCGGACAGCCACCGCCCAGCACCGCGAAGACCCGTTTCTATAGACGCTAACAAACAGCCGCGCAGGCGCACTGGCGTTCCACCAAAGCAACCCACACCGCTCCAAGAACAGCGCAGGCGCACAACAATGCAGTCGCGAGGCCGGTCTGGCGCATGTGCAATTAGACTGCCACGGGACGCACACTGCGCACGCCTTGGTTTTTCCCCAATCCTCCCGCAGCACAGGACAGCAGGACGAGCAAGCTAAACTGCGTTCTCAGAAAGCACGCGCTGCGTCCAGAGGCTTCGCGTGCGTAATGCCGTACCTCTCCCCCCTTCGGTTCCTTATCTGGACGCCTGCGCAGTCTTTCCCGACCCCATTTCTTAGAAGCCGGAGGTGCCGGCGCTTCCCAATTGCTCAAACTCACCTCTCTCGCATGTGGACGATGTCTTGTCCTCTTTGGTCGGGACACTGCGGCCCTCTCTCAGTGGTCAGGCCGGCACACGGACTATCGATCGCTCACTGCTCGTCTGATCACGACCGACTGCCTAGGAGAGCGCCGAGCGATGGATGCGGCGGCCCCGCCCTCCCTACGGAAGGCGGGAGGGCGCCTTTGGGCCCGAGGTGCGGCGTCGTACCGCCGGGTTCACACCCTCCGTTTACTCTGACTCCCGCAACGAGGAGTATTCTCCATTTTATAGAAAAGTAAACAGGCTGGGTGAAATAAAGTGGCCATAGCGCTAGAATCTGGACCCTCAATGAGGCTGCGTCCGCGGCGGTTCCGCGGGAAGGACCCGGCAGATGGCCTGGGACCTGAGCCCCGCTCGGCCTCGGGCGCGCTCCCTGTGAGCAGAGGCGGCTCAGAGCGCGGCCCGCCCTGGGTTGGGGCCGGTCCGCACGGGGACCCTTCACCACGCCGGCTGCCCACCCGAGAGGTGGGTTACCGAGCCTTATCTAGCAACGGGGAGCCGAGGCTCCAGGCCAGCGCAGCCGCCACCGCCTCAGGACACCTCGGAAGTGTCCAAATCAGCCGGGACGGTGGCGCAGTCCTGCGGTCCAGGGGCTTCGGAGGCGGAGGCAGGAGGAGTTCAAGTTCAAAGCCAGCCTCGGAAATTAGGGAGACCTTGTCCGAGAACAGGCTGGGAGGTGGTCAGGGGGTGTGTATGTGGTCAGAGAGCTGTTGTCATCAGGGCCTCCCAGAAGCACGTCCCCATAACCTGTCAGGCTCACTGGGAGCTGGGGACTGATTCCAGGGTCATGCATCCAGAGTCCCCGGGGGATGACCCCACCATTGAGTGGGGCAGTGTTGCTCGGTGCCCCTGGAAAACAGTGCAGGCAAAAAGGAAGTGCTCTCAGCCGTCTGTGAGCCAGAGGACTCGCTGAAAGCACAACATTGTTCCTCGTAGGATTTTGGTGATAACCCGGGAAGCCCCGCCCCCCGGGCTAACCTTCCTGCATCAAGGGCAGACACAGACCATCGCGATCACCACACTTCGGGTTTTAGTTAGCTTTTTTTGTTACTGTGAGCAGAAGACCTGGCAAGAGCAATGTACAGGAGGGAAAGTTCATCTTTGGCTCATGGGTTTTCAGAGGTTCGGTCCACTGTTGGTTGACTGCATGGCCCTGGCCTAAGGGGAGGCAGAACATCATGGCAGAAGGGTGTGATGGTGGGAAGCAGCTCAGGATGTGACAGCCAGAAAGCAGAGAGCTCAGCTTGCCAGGAATGAAATGTAAATATATACCCCGGTGACCTGCTTCCTCTGCCTACACCCTACCTGCCTACAGTCACCACCCAGTTAATCCTATCAGTGGATTAATCCAGTGATGAGGTTACAGCTCCCGTAGCCTGATCATTTCACTTCTGAACCTTCTTGCATTGCCTCTCCCCTGAGCTTTTGGGGGACACCTCACATCCAAACCATAACACTGTATCTCACAAGTGATGCACAGAACTACTTGTCCCCACAAGTCAGAACAAAGTGCTTGTGCACCAAACTCTGGTTTAGCTCCTCCCCTTCCTCCAGGCCCCTGGAAGTTGGCCCACCCTCAGCCTGGGACAGCAAGCAGCCTCAAATGTTTTAGCTCTCAGGATAAAGTATTCATGGCTTTCTAGCCCACACCTCCTTACCTCTCCTGTTCTTCTGTTTAATCCCACTAGCCTATTCCCTATAAAAGCAAAGTTTTTCTTGCCTAATTCCTAGGGTGCTTGCATTCGCAATGGCCACAATAGTGTCGCTATTCCAAGTTTCCCTCCCCCAAAGCATAGACCCTTTCCTCCTCCTAGTAATCCTCTCAAATAGAAATCTCTCTTTGCTGAGTCTGAATTTGGTGTGTACTGGACAGTTCATGGGCTTTTACTTTTCAGAGATTACCCAGTCGGGTGCACATTGGCCCCCAAGTTGCCGAGACAAGCCCCACGATGGGGGCCACAGGAGGTTTGAACCCAGGACCCTGCTTCCAGGGCCTCCTTCCACCGTGCTCAGGAATGGAGCCCAGCTATTTACAGAGACAAACCCTTTTGCGGATTTCTTTTGTGTTTTTGTTTTGTTTTTCTGGTGCTGGGGACTGAAGAGGACCTCAGGCAGGCTGAGCCTGCCCCACCACCGAGCTCCGCCCCCGGGGTTGCTTGTTTCCAAGAGTGGCTTGGTGAGATGAATCATGGGCACAAGAGAGATGTTTTCTTAATAGAAAAGAACCACGATTTTTCACGGTTGGGTTTCACTTCCCACAGTCTTGTTGCCACCCCCACCCCACCCCTTCCCCCCATTCCTGGTGGCTTTGGAATTGGCCATTAAGCTCACGGACCCATTTGAGTGTTGTGAAAGGCACCACACACACAAAGAGCCATTGCTTTGGCCCATATTTGTGATTTTTCTTCATTAGATCAAAAGCTTGTAATTTAAATATATCCAAGTGTGCTGGGAGCATGTGTGGCTTAATTATCAAATTTATTCAAAATATACAAACAAGGCTCCAGACTCAAAAACAACATTTAGCTTGCCACGGAAGAGACATTGGATTTATTCCAATTGCTTAAAGAGGAGAGTGAGACCTCCCACCTCCGGGATCCTCCAGCTACTCCACCCAGACCTTCCATTGCACACAGCAGGGCGTGGCTCACCTATTCTGTGCCTTAATTCCTCTGTGGCATGTGACCATCCCTGCTTGAGCTAGGATCTGGTGACCTAAAATGACCTTAGTTTATTACACAAGGTACCATATTGTGTGGATTCCTCTAGGGTGCAAGCAAGACCTTCCAAATGGGATACTTGCTATGTCTCTGGGGCTCAGTATCTTCCTGAAATGGGTTTGACCACTACCTCCTAAGGACGTTGTGAGGGTTAGATAAGACCAGCTCTTCTCCTTGCTCTGCCTGTCCCAGAATTCACATGATCCAAACCTCCATTCACCTGCTGGTAGCGGCAGTCTGCCCTTCCTGTTCCAAGTTCAAGGACCCCCAAGCAAGTGCAGAGCTTCCTAAAATACAGGTTCTTGGGCATCTCCTCTGGAGATTTTGATTCAGGAGCTCTAAAGTCAGACCCAGGATTCTGAATTTTCACTAACATTTTAGGAAGCTCAGAGATGGATGGCAACCATATCTTGAGAAATAGTCCAGGGGATTATAGAGGTCCAGAGAGGGGGAGTCAGAGGGTCTAGAGGGTCTGGCTACTGCATCAAACTGACCTGAGGTTCAGGCCTGGAGCCTCGTGGCCAGGGCTGGCTCCTAGCTCTTCCTGTTTCGAAAACTTCTCAGGTAGTACCTCTTCGTGTTGCACACAGAGCCCTTACCTGGGCCACAGCCGGCCCAAAGCTCCTGGTCAGACAGGCACAAGCATTAGTTCCCTTCTAGATGAATGACACTGCCTTTCTCCACTCAGATACTATTTTAAGCCCTTGAAAGACGGATCTTCTTTGATCTCTCTCATCCCCACCCCACCCCACAGTAGAACCCTGTAATCATTCTCTACTCATTCATTCAACAAATATTTATCAAAGACTGTATATGGTGTTGGAGTAATAATGACCAATAAGGTGAATGTATTCCTTCTCCTCATTCATTGATTCATCTGTGTTGCAAATTTTTATTGAGCATGATTCTATACCAGGAATGGGGCTAAGTGTTTGTATCAGTTATCTAGGACCACAGGTGATGCTGGGTAACAAACCATTCCCAAACTCAATGGTTTAAAACAATAAATCTACAGATCACCTTTGTGGCAGGCTTGGCTGATCTTGGTGGGACTTGCTCACATGAGTGGCCAGCTAGTTGTTGGCTAAGGCGATGAGTCATGAGCCTGTTATCACCCGAAGGACGTGTTCACATAAGTGTGGCAGGATTTCAAAGAAGGAACAGGTGCTATATGCCTCTTAACTCATCCATGATTTGAACTACTTCTGTTGGCTAAATCAAATCACATTCTACTGGACGGACAAGTCACAAGGGTGTGTTAGCCAACTTTCCACCACTGTGCAAATACCTGAAATGAATCAACTCTTAGAAAGAAGGGTTTGTTTTGGCTTACATTTTGAGAGGTTTAAGTCCATGGTCAGTCGGCCCTGTTGCCTTGGGGCTTGTGGTGAGGGAGCACGCTATGGCGGGGAAGCACCTGGTGCAGCAGCGATGTTCACGTCAGGCCAGCCAGGAAGTCAAGAGGAAGAGCTGGGGACACGCCCCTCCCCAGTAACTCAAAGATGTCCCTCTAGGCCCCACCTCCTAACTGTTCCATGACTCTCAGTAGCCCAAACTAGGACTAACCCTTCAACACATGTGCCACTAGGAATATTCAGGATCCAAACTCTAGCACAATGTTAAAAGAGAATCCACTGCTGAAGAGCAGAGACGCGAAGTCACAACGCAAGAATCTTAGCTACAGAGAAGTTGAAGAGTCATGACAAATTTTGCTATGATCACAGTGAGCAAACAGACACATCCCTGCCCACATTCTGGCAATGGGAACAGAAAGTTAAAAAAAATTTTTTTTTAGTTGTCAATGGAACTTTATTTTATTTATTTACTTATATGTGGGCTGAGGATGGAACCCAGTGCCTCTCACAAGCCAGGCAAGCACTCTACCACTGAGCTACAGCTGCAGCCCGGGAAACAGAATTTTTTAAAAAATCATAATTATATGTATAATTATCTACACAGTCATCTCTTGGTATCTGCGGGAGATTGGTTCCAGGGACCCCCTTCACCAGATACCAAAATCCATGTTGCCCTAGTTCTTTATATAAAATGGTGTAGGACTTGCATACTCCTTATACACCCCTCCAGCATATTTTAAATCGTTTCTAGATTACTTAAAACACCCAATGCAATGTAAATGTTATGCAAAGAGTTATTATTCTACATTGCTCAGGGAATAACAACAAGAAAAGAATTTGTTCAGTATGGATGCAATTATTTTCCCCCTGAAAACCTCCTTCATGAGGTTTTCTACCTGAGGTTGGTTTGTGCACGCAGAACCCATAGATAGGGGGCCGGACGTGGTGACACATGCCTGTAATCCCAGCAATTTGGGAGGCTGAGGCAGGAGGATCACGAGTTCAAAGCCAGTCTCAGCAACTTAGCAAGGCCCTAAGCAACTCAGTGAGACCCTGTCTTAAAATAAGATATAAAAAGAGTTGAGGATGTGGCT